CACCCAAACATTGACACAAGTCTTGGTCCTGGAGCAGAGATGTCCTGGACATGTTAAAGCAGCATTACAATCTGGAAGGTTGCCATTGGTGGAGTGTGAAGAGATCTGGAATAACGTGAGGTCAGGAAGCAGATGAAGAGCTGTTCTGGAGAGAGAGTTTTAGGGCAGTATTTGGTAGACATGAATTTTTCCCTATTTTGTTTTCTTTTATAGCAGTCTGATTTATTTGTTTTCTTTACCAGTAAGATGCTGCTCACATAGTCACCACGCTTCTTAAAAATGCAGCTCTTTTTTTTATGACTCTAGTCCAAATTTAAGGATATGTATATTTTAATTTTGAATTTACGTCTTCACTGAGCTAGTACTATGATGCCCACATCCTATGTCTCAAGCATAAGAAGCCCTATAATCTCCAGTGAAAACAATTTGCTGCCTTCAGATGTGCAGTAGGTATGGCAGATTATGGTATGGTAGATAATGTGCTTGGTGGGGGCTGTCCTCAAACTGGAAGTCTTGTAGCCAGTGTTGAGAATATAGGAAAGAAACAGTAATTTTTAAACTACCTCCTTTGGCTATTAAGTATAACTATAGTTTTAATTCAGAGATCATAAAGCTGATATAATAGGCCATATAATACTCTAAACTTTGTGAGAATCTCATTCTCAGGAACAAATTCATTCAGCCCAGTGATTGTAGCATGGGAACAACTGTGGAAAACATGTAAAAGAGTGAATGTGGCTATGTCCTGTATAAAACTTTATTTCGTAGTGGGCAGCTGGCCAGAATTGGCCCATGGACTGTAACTCTCCAGCCCTCTAGTGTTTTGAGAACTGTACTTTTAACCTTTAAAGTTGAAGCTATAAAGTACTATTTTGACTGGTGTAACATTTAATTGCTACTTTTTGTTCAAAAGTACTTTTTAAGCAATTGTCTTTATAAACTAACCTCATTCTACAAAGTTTTGACTACCAAATATATGCATTCTTTTACATGGAGTTATATAAAATTATGTAAAAATATTTTTAAACTGCTGACAGGCAGCCGTCCTCCCCCATCATCCTCTGCTGCATGTGCTGCCATCATCCTAACCTCAGTGGATACTTTCCCATGAGTACGTCCTCTGAATGGTGTCCCACTGCTTCTGTCAAGTCAAACAGTTTCCTTCCTGTAATACAGAATCTGCAGGGACACTTGGTTCACTGAGAGTAGAACACATGCGCAGTGTTCTCTTTGTTACGTTTACCATATGACTCTGTGCTTTCTGTTCGCTGTTTCAGATGAAATGCTTACCTGTTCGTCCATCTGAATCATGTGTTCATTCAAACTCCTTAGAATGATATCTACCCAACACTGAGGACTTAAATAACACTATTATTGTTTCAGTAAAGCTGTTGACACTCCTGTCCTGAGGCCTTTTCAGTATGTGTTCCAATCAACATAGGACCATGGCTTTTCCTGAGAACAAAACACTCTGTGTCTAGACCATTCAACAGAAATATAATAACCTTTTCAAAAATATGGTGTTGGGACAATTGGATTTCCATCTGCAAATAATGAAGTTGGGCCCCTAATTAAACATAAAATTAATTCAAAATAATTATAAATAAATGTAAGGGACTAATTTATATACATAGAATACAATATGTGAGTATATATTAACTTTACCTTATTCAAAATATAACACAAAAAGCATACATAACAAAGGAAAATGAATAAATTTAACATTTTTTCGTAAGCCACTGTTTAAAACAATGAGAAGGAAACCCTCAGGATGTGAAGAGTTTTCAAGTTAAGTATGTGGCAGGGGACTTGTGGAGAAGAGGCTATCACAGTCCAGTGAGGAACACATCTTTAAAAAAAAAACAAAAAAAAAAAAAAACGGGCAAAGTATTCAACCTTTACTGATGCTCATTAAGTATATGAGACTATAGTGTCTGTAGTCTGAGAAAAATGTTTATCAAGAGCACAGTGAGAAAAGAGTTTAGATCACAAGTATAATTATAAATTAAGACCACAAAAATTGCTAGTTAGGATGTGGAGAGATCAGACCCTTATTTGTATTAGTGAGTGAGGAGACTGTGAAATGGAGTGGCAACTTTAAAATCATTAAACGTGGTATTATCACATGTTCCAGTACCTGTACACCTAGGTAAGTGTATATAAGAGAGATGGAAACAGTAAGAGAAGGAAACTAGTTGCAGAACCCACATATTATGTAGTCTCATTCTTAGGAAATGTTTACAGTAGGTAAATGGATAAAGGAAAAGAAGAGTGATCAATGATTGTCCAGGTCTGAGTGGGAGCTGGGAGCTTGGAAATGGCTACTGATAGCTGCAGAGTGTTTTGGGAGTGATAAGAATAATCTGAAATAAAATGGTAATGATGATTGCACAGTGCTGTGAATTATGAAAACCTACTGGTTTGTAAACTTTAAAATGGAACGTTTTATAGTATCTCTGTAAACCATTTTATATTACATTTTATGTATCTCTATAAAGTGTTATTTATAAAGAATAAAATGGGCTAGGAATGGTGGTGCATACGTTTAATCTCAGCACTTAGAGACAGGAGCAGGTGGATTTCTGTTAATTTAGGGCTAGCCTGGTAAACAAGACAATCAGGTCTATATAGCGAGACCCTGACAAAATATAATAAAATACTGGAATGATAGCTCAGTTTGTAACAATATGTGCTTTGCAAACAAGAGGACCTAAGTTCAAATCTCATACACCTATATAAAATCTAGGTATGGTCATGTCTACCTGTAAGACCAGTATTGGGGAATAAGGTTCAATAGATTTTTGGGAACTTGCTGCCCAGTAGGGACAGTTCAAAACATGAGTTTCAGATGTGCCTTACCTCAGAGAATAAGGTGTGTAGCCATAAACGAAGACATGCCATCTCCTTATGACTCTATCTGATGTCTACATTCATATATGTTTTTATCCATCACACACATGCATGTCCACACACACACACACACACACACACACACACAATGGGTAGGGGGTCTTAAATGGTCTTATTTTTCCTTTTGTGACTTTTTAAACATTATGAATGAAATACACAGTTTTTCTTTTCAATTTTCTGGCTACCTGCTAACTTTACATATAGCCACAGATGATATGGATGTAGAAGGTAGAGTTCTTATTGAGCAGGCGATTAGCTTTTGACAGTACCACACACTCATGTACAAACCATGACTTCTGCTCAGGGAATATTCAGTGGCCAGGAAATAATGAATGGTCTTACTCACCCTTTTGAGAGGTTTTTCACATGAAGACTAAGGTGATTCATACTACAATGATATGGCAGTGATAAGGTTTACAACCTCATTATTCTAAAAGGTTTAAAATAAGGTTCATTTACTTATCATTTATAGAAGTTATTTAAGAAATAAGCCTAGAAATCGCATGGTCCTGGGTAGTTCTTTTGTCAGCTTGACAAAAACTACAGTTCTCTTAGAAAAGGAACCCAAATTGAGAAAATGCCTCCATTGAATAGGTTATAGGCAGATCAGTAGTGTTATTTAGTTGATTAATGATTGATGTGGGTGAGCCTAGCCCACTGTGGGTATGCCAACCCTGAGCTTTTGATCCTGGGTTGTATAAGAAAGTCGAGTGAGTAAGACGTAAACATCAAGCCAGTAAGTAGTGTTCCTCTGTGACTTCTGCTTCAGTTCCTACTTCTAGGTTCCAGCCTTGAATTCCTTACCTGTCTTTCCTCTGTGATGGACTGTGATTGGGATGTATAAGCCAAATAAATTCTTTCCTTCCAATGTTGTTTTTACTTATGTTCTTTTGTAGGCAGGTACTGTGCTTTTATTTCCCACTGTCCAGACCTGAATAATCACATAGAACTATATTAATTACAACACTGTTTGACCAATGACTGAAGCGTATTCCTAACTAGCTCGTACATCTTAAATGAATCCATTTATATTAACCTATGTTCCACCACGAGGCTGTGGCTTACCAGTAATGCTTTGGCAACTTTCTCCTTTATGTTGATGCTTAATGGCATCTCTTTGACTCTGCCTACTCTCTATATCTCTGTTCAGATTTCCCACCTGGCTTTACTCTGCTAAGCCAGTGGCCAAAACAGCTTTATTCATCAACCAATAAAAGCAACACATATACAAAAGGACATTCCACATCATTCTTTATCACAGAAACACAAACCTAACTAAGAACATAACTCTTTCCTTTTAAAAAAAAACCATTTTGAAAAGCTGGAATATGTTGAATTACATCTCAGTATCCTCCTTGAAACTAGTTCATATAAACATTAGCATTTTTTACATCCACTGTTACTGTACAGTTAAATAAATAAAATCATGTACTTTTTAGATACCACCATTATTCTTGTGCCCTTATTTTTTAAAACAAAAAGCAAAAGAGTCCTTTTAAAAGTAAGCTATGGCCAGGTGGTGGTGGCACATGCCTTTAATCCCAACACTGAGGTGGCAGAGACAGGCGATCTTTGTGAGTTCGAGGCCAGCCTGGTCTACAAGAGCTAGTTCCAGGACAGGCTCCAAAGCAACAGAGAAACCCTGTCTCGAAAAACCAAAAAAAAAAAAGCTATGGTATAAAGTACATGTTCTCAGCTTGTGGTGCACAAACATCAACTGGGGCTCATTCAAACAATGACTTTCCTGACCCCTACCCACAAGAGTTTGGTTTAAGCTGAATTTTTAATGAATACCTTTTGAAGGTTAGTGCATTGCCCCATCATGCAAAGATTCCCAGGGATCCAGCTAATGCTGAGGAAAACAAGGGTGTTAGAATATTTATCACAACTGCTGAATAGATATTGATCTAGTCTTCAGCTATTTGATACTGGAAGTAGATGATATCCACATTGGAAATTCTGTTATAAAATAACTTACTTTCTTCCTACTAGTATAAAATCCCAGATTGCAAAACTGTTGTGCTTGTCACCCTTGCCAGCATCTCTTACTGATGGCCTTTAGTGCCCTCATCTCCACCTTCTCTTTGCAGATATCCTTTGACTTAGCAGAGTACACTGCAGATGTTGATGGAATTGGCACCTTGCGGCTTCTGGATGCAATTAAGACTTGTGGCCTTATAAATTCTGTGAAGTTTTACCAAGCCTCAACAAGTGAACTATATGGAAAAGTGCAGGAAATACCCCAGAAAGAGACCACACCTTTCTATCCAAGGTCACCATATGGTAAGGACACTTGTACCCAGCTGCATGTAAAGCTCTCTCAGCTGTGGGGATGTTTCTGCTTTCATTCTGTATATGTGTCATACCTGTTCATTTTTATGTGAGATTGCCATTTATAGACTAAAGTGTCTGGACTTGTTGGGAAACATACTGTATGCATTATTGCCATTGCCTCCAGGTGGATTAGCACCTCATTCACCAGTCTCTGTTCATCCAACCTTTCTACACAGATCACTTTAAATGAAAATTAGACCCAATATGACTCTTTTTCTAAGCTGTTTAGAGATTGCGCTGAAGCAATGAGCTTTTGTGTTGTTTGTTTTTTATTTTTCCCCATGAAAATTTCTCTAGTACAAACCTAGGAGGGAAAAACAGACTTATATGTACCGCATTTGTACAGAAAATATTCGTGAAGGATATATATGATAACATTTTAAAACAATTTGAATATTAAGATCCCAAATATCTTCTTTCTAATTTTCCAAAAGTGTACTCACATGTGTACATTAGGGAGTGGGGAAGACAGAGACAGACACAGTGTAAGACACAGTGGAAGAGAGCTAGGAAAGATGAACTTGTTATATTCTATAGTATAGTTGAATAAATAGATGGTAAAAGAATTATGAATGTTACAAAGGAAGGAGTTTTATTTCTACTGCACATGATTAATTGACACACAATGTTTGTTTTAGATTGTGGTTCATATTAGCCATTTTGATGCATTACAAGTAATACCCTGTCAGTTATTACTTGTCTAAGGTGAATGAAAAGCCCAGTCCTTTAGAGTAAACTTTGTCTTTAACAAATTATTCCAACAGGTGCAGCCAAACTCTATGCTTACTGGATTGTTGTGAACTTCCGCGAGGCTTATAATCTCTTTGCAGTGAATGGCATTCTCTTCAATCACGAGAGTCCTAGAAGAGGTGAGTGAATACATTATCAAAGGAGGGTTTTAAACTTTATTAACAGAGAATAGTGTATGTATAGTCTGTTGATGTTCTATAAATTGAAAAAGTTTATGTCTACTCCTCTTATCAATGTAGCAAATGGAGAAATATAAATCCAGCTTTAATTTGTAAGAACTTTTAAAATTCTTTGTGAAAGGCTGGACTGTGTGCAAATTTACTGTTTTCTTTAGTAGTTTTCAACCCAAGTATGGGAAATTTCTGTGTGAATGAAAACAATGAGAGATAAACTGCTGGTGGTTTCTGTCATTCATTACTGTTTACCTAGACTCAACCAGTTGAAAAATAAGTATCTTCCCTTTATATTAGAGAGACACCAGAAATAATTGTTTCTCAAATGGATTCTAAAATCAATTTGAAATAAGTCTGTAAGTATTATTTGTTTTGTTTGTTTGCTTTTCTGAAAGTTGTATTTGTTTGCGTCAGCTTAGTTATCGTTGAGATTATTGGCAGTATCATTTCTCTGCCGTCAGCATTAGGTGTTCAGTGAGAAGACATGTACTCCCATCCTTCTTCTGTCCCAGTGAAACATGAGAAATGTTAACACACCAGGTGTGTGCTGGGGGAATAGAATCCACAACATCAGTCTTTACAAAGTACAACTTATTTGTGTCATCTAAATCAGAAACATTTTATTACATTTAATGGTCACTTAGTCTTAGAGTGTGAGAACAAATAAGAAGCCCAATATTAAAAGTTGGTTCTTGCCCAACAACTAGTAATACTTATAAGTATTTCAGTGAAATTTTATATGACTACATACTCACCTAATTAAACCAACAAGTCATAGAGAAAGATTAAAGTGATAGACTTATAAAGGTGTCTCTAGCATCACATATTTTTATTTTATAATTGCTTAAGTTTGCAGTTCCCATGATGGGTTGTTAAGGCATGATTGCCAACCTGTCATCTCTGCATACACACATACTCATCATTTCTTTAATTAGTTTTGTGTTTTGGATATTCCTGGCAAGGGTAATCCTGTCTCTTTTCACACAAACATGCTTGTATTATTTTGTTGTGTTTCTGTATTTTTTTTCCTCTTCAACCTGACCCATTTCTCCTACCCTGCACAGAAGAAGTAAATATTAATTGCTCTAAGTCAGCTTAAGAGGAAAAAGCATTCTTAGGTTATACAATAAAAAGACAATTTAATTGTTATGCTTCTGCCAGTCCTCTATTTGTACCCTGTAAGTGAAGGCTTTTCTTCTATATTGATTATTTTCTGAATTTTAAGAGATAATATTTGTAAATTTCAAAGAAAAATTTTAAATGTTATAAGAGGTAAAGAAAGAGTTCCTTTCCTCATTTATATTAAGCTTCCTACCACTGGAGCCACTGTTACCATTCCCAGAAATTCCCTTTATGTTTTCAGACCTGCAAAGATAGTTACCCATATGTCTTGGGTGTCTGTTAAATATTTGTTAGATTTGATCTTGAGCATCTTGATAGTAAGGGAAAGCTCTTGCTTTAGAAACTTTTAGACCTGAGTTTGATCTACCAGAACCCACTGTGGAAAAAGAGAACTGACCTTCAGAAATCGTTCTCTAACCTCCACACATGTGCTATGACATCCTCGTGTCTGCCTTTGCTTATATACACAGACACAGATAACCAGACAGACATATACAGAGACTAATATAAAAATTATCATAAGGTTATCACATTAAGATTATTAAAGAAGATGAACGATGGTGACAGTGCTTTTAATCCCAGTACTCGGGAGACAGAGACAGGTGGATCTCTATGAGTTTGAGTCCAGTCTGGTTTACAGAGTGCATTCCAGGACAGGTGCCAAAGCTACTGAGAAACCCTGTCTTGAAAAACAAAAACAAAAAAGATTATTAAATAAAACTTGACCTTGTAATATAAGCCAGTTTATTGTTTTATTACATATACAGAAATCAGTATTATTCCATTTTAAACCTCATTTATATGTTCAAATAAAATAGAATTTATATTAATACTAGCTTTGATAAAACTTCTGAAGTCTATTATACATAGCATTTTAAAACTTAAAATTAAAATAAATTTAGTATGAAAGTAATTTTTTTAAAGATTAAGCATTATTTTCTAAGGAGTCATTTGTGCCAGATTGAAACTATCTTATAGGAGGACTACACTGTGTTTTTACAGTTCTAACATCTGAAGACATACCATCATGCTAATAGGCATTAGATAAATATTTTTAAAGAAATAATGAGTATCCCCTGTTTCAATAAAACTTTACTGACTTAAAATTAGGATATCAGAATTAGAAAACAGTGAAAATTTATAGGAGAGTTTTTAATGAATATTGTTTCAATGAGTCCATACATGCAATAATTAAAACTAACACAGACTATTTGTAGTAATGATTCAGTCTGATGTATCTTGAAAATCATTATGCACTTTTAAAATTCTTAATATATGCAGCTACAGTTTAGGATGGCACTGAATGTGACTTCAGTTTAGCTTTGCACCCTACTACCATAGTGAACACACGTTTTTCTAAATGGAGCAGTGGAAAATGTCAACCTAACCCGAGATACAATCACAAATCACCAATTCCTAGAACTCAGGCTGATGTATTTTGGTCAGAAATAAGTTTTTCTTCCTCTGAAAACTGCTGGCAGTCTCTTTTGACTGTACCATAGCATTTTATGGTGGCTTATGATTGAAAAAGTTGTGGGGGAGCTATTTTTTAATGTGAAAGACCAGACTTTGGCAAACTGTGCTTTATGAACCACATCCAGTTCTTTCACGTGTGTGTGTGTGTGTGTGTGTGTGTGTGTGTATGTGTGTGTGAAAATAAGGTTTAGTTGGAATACAGTCATTCTCATAACTTTATATGTTGTTTATGGCTATATTCATACCCTAGAATCCTGTATCCTGAAAACCCTAAGTATTTACTGTCTAGGCCTTTAAAGGAACATCTAATGGACATCTAGAAAACTTGCAATGGGTTTTTCTCAGAGAACAAATTGATCCTGTAAGAGTTAGTGCCAGAGTCAATCATGTTCAATAGTCCTACTGTGCTAGTAAGGTACTATTTGGTTAGAGCTCTGCTGTATTTTCCTGCCATACTGAAGAGGCATTGTGATCTAAAGAAAAGTTAATCATCATTAGTGTCTGACTCCAAACAAGCTTTTAGCTGACCAAAGACCTGCTCACTACAGCAGCTACCTCTTAAGTTAACATTGTCTCATTATAATTTCACTATGTCTTTTCTCCCTCCCAGTTTTTTTTTGTTTTCTTTTATTTTTAGTGTTGTATTTCAAAACATGTTTATGTTGTGAGAACTGTAATATAAATCTGAGATAGAATTACTGGTGGTTATATAAGACAAATAGTTGAAAATAATTTCTAGGGAATGAACCAGTGATCTAGCTGCTCTTTTCATTAGGAACAAGTGTGTTTATGTTGCTCATACAAAATGTGGGCACTTTAGCACCTTCTCCAAGTTAGTGATAAATGGATAAAATCTTAGCACTGTCTGTCCGTAGGACATAAAAATGTAGTAACATGTTCTATGACTGATTCTTACTATGTGTTTTATATGAATATAAATATGGATGGGATATTTTTAATGAATATCCCATTTTAAAATATGTATGCTATTCCCTTAATTTGTTTCATAAATAAATTATACAAATGTGCTCATGTATTTTAAAAAAACTTTTCCTTCTCTCATGATTTTACCACACTTGAAATCTTGTATCTGGCTGCTTTTTGCAGTGGAAATATGCATCTCTATATATTGCATTTGCACAAATGCAGTATACTCTTTGCCATACTCGTAGTTGTGATGACCACCTTTCTTCTGGAGATACAAACTTACTTATTCATTTGGAAAAATATTGTTTATTATCTAAGCTTTTTAGTTTCTTGAAGAAAATTGACATAGGCAAAATTTTGCCTTTATTGTTAGGTTTCTTTGAAAAGCTAGAGTTGGTCAAGCTATGACTCCATAAGGATATTAATGATATAGGTTAAAGCATGAGGAAAACATGGAAAGATTCTTTGCTTCATTCAAGTATCTATGATACTTGAGTTTTTTTTCAAATACACTATTTACTAGTAGTTTACTCTACCACCACCACCACTGACCCCTACCCGAACTTACTTCACCTTATGGCCTATATGATCTTCCTGCATCAACCTTCCAAGTGATGGAATTACAGGTGCATTCTGCCATATCTGCAAAATTATTCTTGTACTTGGAATTGCTCTATAAATTAGAGTATTATAATGAAGTCTAGTTAGTAAATCTAGCAATAACATTTACATTTGCTATTATTCATTGCATTTGAAAAGGAAAAGCGAGATATTTGTCACCTATGTCTTGGAATCAGTCCACTGTTTTTAATTAGTACACCTGTAGAATACTTTGACATGTTATGGTTTATTCATTTATAAACATAAATTTATTCCAAACAAAATAAAATGGATTTATGTTAACATTAGGAAAAACCAAAATCTACATCCAACATCCAAGTTCAAAAGGTTGAAAAAAATAAGTGATTATTTTAAACTGGATTTCCTAACTTTGATGATTATGGCATCATAATTAAAGGGTAAAATTAATGTGATATTGGATGATCTTCGTTTTTGCTTTCCATGTGACTGTAGAATTAGAGGCTTGGGCATCCTTCAGCTAAGGAGTGGCTAAATCTTCAGTAAGACTTGCCAGGGTCCATCTGGGAAAAGAATGGTTAGGCTAGGAGTATGCCTAGTAAATATTGCCCATTGCCCAGTGTGGCTCAACTAGGCTCCCACTCTGAATACATCAGCCCTGTGAGATATGGGAACTGTATTTCAGTTCAGCTGTTTGATGAGGATGTGTTTCTTATGCTGACTTTTGTCATTAGGAAAGTCTGGGCACTGTATTGGCAGCTACTTCTAGAGTAGGTAGTAAATGGAGGTGGTGAAGTTGGAGTAAGTGTACCTATCTCCTCGACTGCCAGTTAGTTTGTCAG